CCCCCCCCCGCTCTGCCTAGGAAGCACCGCCCCACAGCACAGAAACAGATCTGGGACAAGTGGGCCCCTGGGGTGCCCCCGTCGAGGCCCATGGGAAGCCTAGAGGAAGAGCTGGGGTCAGTGGCCAGAGCCAGAGCAGGTTGACTGGACACCAGAAGGAAGACAGCTGAGGGCAGGCAGCTTGGCCGTGGCCCCGTGGGCACTGACAGTGACTCCTTGGTCTGCAAAGCCCCCACCCAAGGCCAGAGGCGGTGGGCATGGAAGCAGCGTGGGGGGCAGGGGGCGGGATGGCCCCAGTTTCACCTGCCCTGCCACTGGAGCAGCCCAAGCCTGACACACACATGCGAAGCCAAGGGGCAGCAGGGGTGGGAGGAGCAGAGCCGCGAACTGGACCTCCTAGAAGCCTGGGGCAGGCAGTGAGGCTGGAGAGCCCGGGCTGTGGGCACAGACCACCCCAAACTCTGCTGAGGCAGGTTCTGCCCAGCACCCCAGCCTGAGCCCAACAAGTCAGCAGAAGTAAAACACAACCAAATCCAAAAACAAACACAGGAAAACAGACACAAGTGACACCCACAGGTCAAAGGTCACCAGAAGCACCAGCACAAGACGCTGCACAAGACCTCACCAGGCACGGACACACACTGCACCGCGGGAGACGGAAGCAGGGAGGGCAAAGGAGTAAGTCACTTTCGGTACAATTGCAAAAGAGTTAGCAAAGAGGACGTCAGGACTCGCCTTCTGGTCGCTCGTGGCGTGGTTTTTTTTGTGGTTTTTTTTTTTTTTTGTCTTTTTTAAACTAAGTTTTATAAATAACATCTGATAACTCTGTGTATATAAAAACTAAACTTCAACAGCCACAAAGACTTGTCTGTAAGTTTACAAGAAAGGGCTTTTTTTTTCTTTTTTTAAACTAGCAAAGTTTCTATTATACTTTCTTCCCTTTTCCATTTATATGGTCAAATGTTCTTGCTTGTTTTTTGTAAAAAGACAGTTTTATAAATACTCTCAGCTCTTTTTTTTTTTTCCTTTAGCTTTTAAACATATAATTTAATAACTTCGTAAAAGGAACTTCTCTCTTTTAAATAAAGGGCTATGTAACCACACAAATAGGTCATGTAAACAGTGACACGGGACCATCGCAGGACACTGGACACACCCTTCACGTACGCTCACAACCAGTGATTTGGTCTTGTTCAGTGCAATGCGCCAGGCGAGCGCCCCAGGCCCCCGGCCCACAGCCACACGACGCCCCATCTCCCCGGCACCCAGCTGGTGGCCCGCCTGTCCAGGGCCCTCAAGGACACCCTGCTCCTCGGGGCAGAGCCCATCTATGCCCGCTGGCCAAGCTGCAAGTGAATCACTCAGCCCCGCCAGCCTGGCAGCCTTGGGAGCCCGTGGGCAGCTTGGGGGAGGGAGCAGCCCTCCCTCCTCAGGGACACCCAAGTCCCACAGCCTGCTTAGTCTTTCTACCTATTCTCAAAGGGCCAACTCTGGATTCCAAGCCCACATGGCCTTGGTACAAGGGGGCAGGGGCGACCCCACATCACCGCCAAACTGACCAATCCCAATGTACAAAACACACGATGACAACGACGAGATCAAGGGGCTCAGCCCGGCGCCCCTGGGGTGCAGGTTGTGCTTTGCAGGGAAGGGAGGAGGTAGGAGAGGAGGGGAACAGGGGAGGAAGGGGGCAGGGCTGCCGATTCGCCATGTGCCTAACGGCCCACCACAGACCCGCCTGGGCAAGCGTGAGTCCCTACGACCGGGCGTCCGTCTTGGACTTGACTATTGTGATGACGCTGGTGGCGGCCACCTTGCCAGGGACAAGGGGCCCCAGGCTGGCGGCAAGGGGGCCCCGCGCGGGCGCCACGGGCCCGCCGCGGGCCACGGTCCTGGCGAAGTTCTGCAGGGCCTCGTACTTGGAGCGCAGCGCGTCGAGCTCCAGCTTCATGCTGGCGTTCTCCGAGGCCAGCTTCTCCACCTCCTGCTGCAGCTCCGCCTTCTGCTTCTCCAGCTCCTCCTTCTGCGTCACCCGCTTCACCCGGCAGCTGGCCGCGTAGCCCCGGTTCTTGAGCGTGCGCCGGCGCTGCTTCAGCTGGACGATCTCCTCCTTGGACAGGCCCCTCAGGTGCTGGTTCAGCTCCCGCACCGACATGGTCACCAGCTCCTCGTCCGTCAGGCTGGTGCCATTCTCGCCCGGCTCCCGCTTCACCTGGGGCGGCACAGCGCACAAGGTCACTGGCTGAGCAGCCTCCAGCCCTGGGCCACCGCCGCCCCGCGATGCGCCCACCCTGCCTGCTCACCTTCAAGGCCTTGTTTCCTTTATTGGGGGTCGTCATAACCCGGGGGCACAGCAAGCAGGCACTCTGTGAGACAGGGGACAGAGGTCAGGGCCCTGGAGACCACCCTTTCCCCTCCGCACCCCCAGCCTGGCCCCCACCTGCCCATTCCCCATACCTGGCCCGAGGACACCCCTTCAGCCTTGCCTCTCCTGAGCTGGGCTGCTCCCTGTCTACCCTGCCCCTAGGAAACCAGGTGGGAAACCAGGAGGGTCCGAGGGACAAAGGGGAATTGAAGGGCTATGAGGGAGGCAGAGGCAAGAAGAGGGGCTAGGGGAGAGATCAGAAGGGTGCGGGAGGGGCCAGCCTAGAAGGAAGCCCAGAGCTTTAAAAATAACCCCGGTGTGCGCCCCAGAGCAGCCGTTCCTGGCGAGTCATGCTGACTCAGCACATCCCTGGTGCTCCCTCACCAGCCTGGCACTCCAGAGGCTGCCAGCCAACACAGCCCCAGGGGACCAGCAGCCAGAGCAGAAAGCTGTTGGGGCCAGAAAGGCCAGCCTGGCCAACAGCAGGTGACGGCCAGGGCCAGCAACCCTGCACGTGTGTGCTCAAGGGTCCTACCTCCCACAGCCATCTCTCCGAAGGCGGCCTGGGACAAGCCCTTTTCTCACAAAGGCTTGGGGGGGTATCCCCACTGGGGACTCGGGCAGAGGGGAGGAAGGGGGGGGGTCCTGATTCTCCCAGAGACCTCTCACTCTGAAGAGCAGCACTTTGGCGGGAGCTCCCCCACCCTCCAGGGGGCAGGCGCAGCACCCAGCTGCTGATGGAGTAACCATCCTGTGGCTTTGGGTTGCAGCATCTCGCGCCCCTGCCTTCCCTGTCCAGGGTATTTCACAAGAGTGCTCACAGCCATTCAGGGGGCCTGCTCAGCCCCCTATGGGCCAATGGCCACTCTTTCGCCCTATGTCAGGAGTCAGTGCCCACAGGGCAGGGGACAAAAGCAAAAGGGCTGGGTGGTTGGACCAAAGGCCCCTCCCACCCACGTGATCACCCTTCCCACAGCCCACCCTCACCTTCTGCTTCCCTTTGCACACCTAGTCCTGTGACCCCTGGCTCAGCCAGCCACCACGAGACTGCTCCCCCCCTCCCCCAACTTTGCACTCTACTTTCCAGGTTAGATGCAGGGAGCAAGTGGCCGGATGGCTGAGGCAGGCTACAGTCTCCCTTTTGCGGAAAGCCACAAGAACTCCAGGCAATGCTGGCCTGGGGGAGGAAGGTACTTCTTACCCTCAGAAGGAACTAAGGTGTGGGCTGGGGAAGTAGATACACCAAGTGGTCTCCACGGCAGATCCCACCCCACCCAGCCTTGCAGCAGGAGGCCAGAGGTGTCTCTCCACAGCCAGGCCACCCAGGGTCTCAGGCAGGCCAGAGGCTCTAGTGCCTGGTTCTTCCAGAGCAGCAGCAGATGGGCAGACCAGAACCACAGGCAAAAAGGTCCTCAGGGCCATGCCTACCCTGGGGCCAGGCCCTCCCTGCGGAGTGGGAATCAGAGTGCAGGGACACTGCCCTGGGTCCCACCATTGTGGTCCCAAAGGAAAAGCCCTGGCACCAGCTTTCCCACCACCATGCCCCCGCCACCCCCAATGCTGAGCACAGCGGTGACTTCCTGAAGAGATCACACAGAAAAGTGCCTCCTCGACAGATTTCACCCTCCGCAGAAGGCCTGAACTCAGCACAAGTGCAGCCAATGCCTCCTAATCAAAGGTGTGGGTGAGCGTGCGGGGGAGGGGCAGGCCTCAGCAAAGCCAGGGCTGCCAGCCGCCTGGCCTGGCCTCCACCCACCTGGGGGCACACACCGGCAGGACAGACAGCCTTGGGGATGGGATGGGAGTGAATGGCTCAGGGCACCTCTAAAAGTCAAAGGCTGGATCAAAAAGAAGCAACCCCCACATCCCTCCTCAGCATCCCTAAGGCTCATTCAAGCTGGGGCTCAGTCATCCTCCCTCCTCCGCTCCCCCACTTCATGGAGAAGGTCTAGACGGCCCTACACCACCGAAATACCCTGGACCACCCACTCAGGCAGGGACAGGAAGGGGAAGGAGATTCAGGTAGGTCTAGCCCCTGTCCAGGGCACAGGCAGGAGGAGGCATCGGCCGGCTCCTGCTTCCTCTCCTTTCCTGGCCGGCAAACCCCAGTGGCCAAGCCTCCCCGGCAGGCCTGGTCTTGAGCGCTCCAGCACCCCAACCTAGCCCAGCCTGGCTCCCACCTGCCCTCAGACCACCTCCTCCAGAAGCCCTCGGCCACTAAAAGCCATTGTGAAAAAAGCATAAAACTTAACTTCCACTGAAGCATAAGTGACTTAGAAGCCTTAAAGAAATACCCTCCAGGAATCTGCATTTTCCTAGGGCATAAAATTCTAGCCAAAAGATCAGCTGAAGTGTTAAACCCTCTGGCACCTCTAAGGCCTGTGTGTGTGTGTGTGTGTGTGTGTGTGTGCGCTGGGTGGGGCAAAAGTAGGTCTACAGTTGTTCGTGTGGAAAATACTACAATAACTAAAAAATAGTATAAGAATAAACTCCCTGTTCCATGTACTTGCAACTGTAAACCTTTTACCCCACCCGGTAAGTGTGTGGTGGGGGTGAATATCTGCAGACATGAACCCCTGGGCAAGAAGGGCCCCCCACTCAGGTCTCAACAAAACACTCCCCCACCCCTAGAGGCCAGGAATTACCCATAAACGCGGGAGAACCGCTCTCAAGCTGTCAGTTCCCAACTGTCCCCACCACCTGGCCAGACACCCGTCAGGGCCACGTCTCTGCTGACCTGACAACAATGAGCCCCGACCTCCAGGGGGGCAACTTTGGGCTGACTGGGAACCGCCTCCGCCGTGCCCTGAAGACCAGGCACCCTTCAGGCTCCCACCACCTGCAGGCTCAATCCCGATGCCAAGGCCCAGCCGCAAAGAGGGGCAGGGCCTGCGCACCAGACGCCGCGGTCCCAGCGTCTAAGTCCCGCCGCTTCCTCTCATTGGCAATTTCCTGGTAGAGCGGCGCCCGCCTGCCAACTGTCCCGTCCACTGTCCCCCAGGACTCAGGACAAGGTGTACTGTGCCCGGCGCTGCAGGGAGCGCTGGGCCCCCCGCTGGACCCCACCCT